AGGAGGAGGAGGAGGAGGAGGAGGAGGAGTAGGAGTAGGAGTGGTGGTGGTGGTGGTGGTGGTAGTGGTGGTGGAGGCACCTGACGTGGAAGCAGCAGCAGGAGTGTGTGGAGGGGGGGGGCGAGGAGGAGGAGGAGGAGAAGGAGGAGGACGAGAATGAAGAGGATCAGGCAGATAAGGAGGGATATGGCAAGGAAGGCGGCGGAGCAGGAAGGGCCACGCGCGCCCGATTTTCTCCTCCCTCGCCCAGGCTGCCAGGGCGCACGCCGCCAGACTGGCCGCGGCCCCCTCCTTCGGCGGCGCCGCCGCTCAGCCAGGCGCCGCCCCGCCGCCTGCCGCGCCGAGTACTTCGCTCGGCTGCCGGCCTCCGCGGGCCGCAGGGTGCCGAGGGGCGCGGGCGGCTTCGCGCCTCGCGGTCGGGGCCAGAGGGCCCTGAGATTCGACGGGGTGGCGGCACGAGCGCACGAGAAAGCGCGCGGCGCGAGGCGCCGCAGAGAGCGCGGCGCACCGAGCGAGGTCGTGTGGCCTGGGCGATCGAGTGCACGGAGCGTCCGCGCAGGCGAGCGCCGTGAGCGGGGGTGCCGACGGGGAGGGCGGGAGAGGGCGGGGGGTGGAGGATCTGCAAAAGAAGCGGGGCGCGGCCCGCGGCTTGTGAGGAGGCGGGAGGAGGGAGGAGGAGGGAGGGGAGGAGGAGGAGGAGGAGGAGGAGGAGGAGGAGGAGGAGGAGGAGGAGGAGGAGGAGGAGGAGGGAGGAGGAGGAGGAGGAGGAGGAGGAGGAGGAGGAGGAGGAGGAGGAGGAGGAGGAGGTGCGCAAACTACTTCGGTGCCCTCCCCGGCTGGCGGCGCCGGGCCTCCTGGGGACGCGGCTGGAGCACCTGGGGGCGAGCGACGGCCAGACGGCGCGGCTGCTCGCCCGGGTTGCCGCGAGGGTCGCATTAACGGAGCTGCCGCGGGAGGCCCTCGAGGCTCTGCGCGCGGGAGAGCTCGTGGCGCTCGCGAAGGGCGCCGTCGAGGTGAGACCCTTGCTGGTGGGCGCCACGCTCTGCCGCAGGGGGTTGCGCGCGCCGGCGCGGGCTCGGAAGGCTTAAGCTGCCGGGAAGCACCATTACGGCGTCGGGCGCAAGGGCGGCGCGAACGTGCTGGTTAAGAGCTTGCAGGCTCTCGCGGAGGCCCGGCCGAACGCGACGTTCATCAAGGTGGACGTCAAGGCGGCGTTCCAACGGATGCGCCGCGGCCCCGCCTAGAGGCCTTGGACGAAGCTGTCCCCGATCGGGGTGGCGGCGGCCCAGGGATTGGTACCCGGGCCCCACAGAACATGAATTACTGGCGCACAGCCGACGGGTGTTTCGAAGCGGTCTGGAGCCGGCGCGGGTTCGATCAGGGAGACCCCCTGTCCCCGGCGGCTTTCGCCGTGGGGCAGCGGCGCGCCCTCGAGCAGTTCTTGCACAGTCTGCAGCAGCTGGACCCAGCCGCCCGCTGGTACCTACCTCGACGACTCCTACTTGTTGGTGCGGGCGGGCCTCGGCGCCCTCACGCTGACGGGCCTCCGCGAGGTGCTCGCGCCACTGGGGCTGAAGCTGAACGACGACAAAACGCTGGTCTGGTCCCCTGCGGGTGTCCAGGCTGTCGAAGCCGAGCTCGCGAGCAAGTGCGTGCCCGTTCTGCCAGTTCTCGGCGCGCAGCTCCGGGCTCCTGGAGACGCCGACGGGGCGGCGCTCCCTCTCGGCGGGCAGGGCTGCGGGCTGGACGGGGCCACGGCGCGCCTCGAGAGGCTCTGGGCCAACTTGGAGCGGCTGTTGCAAGGGGGGCTCAAGCGGCAGGCGGCGGGCGCGCTGCTCAACGCCTAGGCCGGCAACTTGCAACGCCAGCCAGCACAACTTGCAGCTGGCCTTGGCCGCGGGGGAGGAGACCTTCCGCTACGACGCCGCGCTGCGGGGCTGCTGGGAGATCGAAGCTGCTGGGGCGACAGCTCGAGCCAGAGGCGTGCGAGCTGCTGGGCCACCAGCGAAACTCGGAGGGGCTGGCGCGGTGGGGGCGGCCACGAGACGGGCGCCCGCCTGCTGGCGGCGTGGGCGCAGGCGGCGGAGGAGGTGCGGGACGACCTCGGTGTCTCAGGAGTCTCCACTCTTGCAGACATGCTGGCGGCGCTGCCGCAGGCCGCAGCCGCGCTCGAGGCGACCCGGGTTGAGCTGGCGCGCCAGGGCGCGGACCCTGAGCCAGCGGCGCCCCTGGAGGCCTTGCTGGGGCACCCGACAAAACAGAAGACCGTGGTTGCTATTGCATGAGGGAACCCACGCTGTTGCGAAACAGCGAATGCACCACTGCGGCCAGGTGTCGCTGCTGTCCGCGGGAGGGCCCGGGGCCAGTGCCTACCTCCAGTACCCCGCGGAGCTGGCCTGCACGCTGGAGGACCAGCACTGGCAGACGGCCACTCGCAGCCGCGCCCAGCTGCCGCGGCCGGAGTGCTCCGCAGACGAGCTGGCGCGCGCGGCGGCGACCAGCCAGAACCTGACGGCTGGCAGAGTGCCGCGCCGAGCGCCGCTGCGGCCGTGTGTCAGCCGGGCGGGGGCGTCGTCGAGCGGCGCGCGGGCGTGGCGCGCCACGCGGGCAGCCTCGCCGGCAGGTGGTGCCACTGCTCGCCGCTGTACGAACAGCGGGTGCCCACCTGGGACAGGGCCCGCGCGTCGCGGGGGAGGGGGGGGGGCAGGCGCCGGCCCCGGAGCGGGCCATCCTGGACGTCGAGTATGACGACCTCGGCGGCCGGCGCTGGCTGGGCGTGATTGAGTCCGCCACCCAGCGGCCGGCGACGAGCCCGCCGTGCGCGCGGCGGCAAGGCGCGTGGGCGAGGCGGCCCGCTGGGCCGAGCGCGCCAAACGCACCCAGGTGAGCGCTTCACGGCGTCGTGGAGACGGGCGGCCAACTCGGCGGGGAGGCGCGGGCCTGGCTGCTGGCGCTGGAGGACTTGCAGCAGGAAGAGCTTGCGCGAGCCTACCGGGTGCTCATGAGCACCCGGCAGGCTCGTGCAGCAGCCGCCGGGCGGCTGCTGCGCGGGGGGCTGACGCGGCGCTGCGCTGCTGGGCCCTGGGCCGCTGGGCTGGCGCGGGGCGCCGGGCCGCGGCCGGCGGCGCGCCGGGCGGCTCTCGGAGGAGCAGGGCGAGCTGGGCGGGGGCGCCAGGCAGCGGCCGCGGAGGAGGAGGAGGAGGAGGAGGAGGAGGAGGAGGAGGAGGAGGAGGAGGAGGAGGAGGAGGAGGAAGAGGAGGCGGACGAGGACGAGGGACGAGGACGAGGACGAGGACGAGGACGAGGACGAAGACGAGAACGAGGAGGAGGAGGAGGAGGAGGAGGAGGAGGAGGAATATGAGGAGGGGGACGAGGACGAGGAGGAGGAGAAGGAGGAGTAGGAGGAGGAGGGAAGGCCTCATCCACGTCGACCCACCGTGCAACTTCCAGCACCCTCCCTCCTATTCTCTCGGTTTCTGGAGGCCCCTGGGGACCTCAGAGGTACATGGAGGTCTCTGTGGGCCTCCGGAGGCGGAGGCATCGGGAGGGACAACAACATGATAATCGTAGATCCTTCTCCTCTTGCTGCTCCTCCTCACCAGCTGCGGTCGCGCTCTGCCTCCTCCTCTTTCTCCTCCTCCTCCTCTTCCTCCTCTTGTTCCTTTTGCTCCTCCTCCTCCTCCCCATTCCCCTCTCCCTCCGGCCATCCTGTTTCCCCCTCCCCTCCCTCTTTCCCTCCTGCACCTCCTCTGAGATCCGACATTGCGGAAAAAACACTCAACATCGCGAAAAGTCACACCCTGAGCTTCACCCCAAACCTTCTTGCAGCATGTTTCGAGCCAGATCGATCGGTGAAGGTCCCGGGTGTCGAAGCTGGGCAAAGAAGCCCAATGCGAACAAAATTGCAACACCCAGATCTCAGGGCTGCTCATTCTCCTCCTCCTCCTCCTCCTCCTCCTCCTCCTCCAACTCAAACTCCAACTCCAACTCCTCCTCCAACTCCAACTCCAACTCCAACTCCAACTCCAACTCGTCCTTTTCCTCCTCCTCCTCCTCCTCCTCCTCCTCCTCCTCTTCTGATCACAGCTCACAGCTCCCTCTGGGCAAGGTTGGGTGAAACTGGATCGGCATCGGCAACGCCTCGGCTTCGTCTGAGGGGCAGCTGCTGGCTGAAGACGCGGCCGCTCTCTAGTGCGTCCCCGCGAAACGAAGGTAAACAACAAATTATCCCAGTGCGACCCTACCTAGAAGTTGGAACCCCTAGGAAAACAGCATTAGTTGCTATGCTATGTTATGCTATGCTGCGCTATGCTATGATATGCTATGCTGAAATATGCTATGTCATGCTGCACTGTGCTATGTTATGATATGCTAATATGTGTTAAGCTGCGCTATGCTATGCTATGCTATGCTATGCTATGCTGCGCTGTGCTATGCTGTGCCGTGCGGTGCTGCGCTATGCTATGCTATGCTATGCTATGCTATGCTGCGCTATGCTATGCGATGCTGGGCTATGCTATGATATGCTGTGCTGCGCTATGCTACGCTATGCTATGCTGTGCTCTGCTATGCTAAATCTCAGCGAAGCTAAGATGAAGGTAAACTAAGCTAAGATATACCTGAGCTAAGATGAAGCTAAGCTAAGCTAAGATGAAATACGCTAAGCTAAGATGAGATAAGGGAACGTCACTGGGGGAACCGCGGAGCGGATGCTGGGGGAACCGCCCGTGGCGGGTTACACTGCCTGGCCTGTTAAGCACACCGAGTAAGAACCCTTCTAGGCAGAGCCTAGGCAGGGAACCATCCTCCTCCTGTTTCCTCATCCTCCTCTTACGACGACGACGACGGCGACAACGACTACGACGCTGACGACGGCGACGACGACGACGACGACCACGACGACGACGACGACGACCACGACGACGACGACCACGACGACGACGACCACGACGACGACGACGACGACGACGACGACGACGACGACGACGACGACGACGACG